CGAGAAATTGTATGCACGTCAAGATTCCATTTCTACGCAAAAAATTTTGCACAAACTACGTGAACTATTAGATTAATACTTTGCCCCTAAAACCTTATAATATTAAAAATATATCTATGAGAAATTGAAGCGAAAGTAGTATCTTGGAAACAGTTAGCTTCAACTCGACTCAGTTCATTTCCAGCAATGCTGAACCCTTCAATTCCAAATCAATTTTCCTAAAAAGCACTACTAAAATGATAGTATATCTCAAAATCGATAAATAAAGTGCTGCGACAATTTTGCAATTCAGCATTTTTAAACGCACATTCTTAAACACCTATTAAGTCCAGATAAAACGCAAAATCAAACATAACACTATAAAATCATGCAATAAAAGCAACACAGATCACACAATCGCCGCCACAATAAGCTACAAATTTGATTTCATATGAAGGGCAACAAATAAAATGCTACATCTGACATGCTAAGAGGAAGCTTCACATGCTCTCCCGACCTCTCCAACTATAGCAGTACCGGGAAATAACCACATCCATTGGCTAAATACAAATCGCACGCCATGTTGACAAATTTCTCGCGCCCAACCCCATAATTCCCTTGCTAGAACTTGACTATACTCTATTGTCTCTCCAATACCCACATATGAGTAGCGATAAAGAAATGAAAAACCCAAGCAAAACAGCATCCAAAGAAAATATGCACGTCTATGACTCCTCTCACGTCTTTGTGGTTTATGCGCCCTACGACCTGTTGAATTTGAAGGTACCTCGTTATCCCCACTTCTTTTACGTACAATTTCGCTATCAGAACTACTGGCGCAATTACAACAGCACTGTGGTGCCGTAGGCCTTGCAGCTAGCGGATCCGGCGGCGCGCATTCACCAGCACCACCGCCGCGTGACAAGGTTCGCTGCAGCACGCTGCCCCTTTCACGTTCATCTGGTACAAAATCCGGTAAATCGCCTGAAGCCTTCAGCGAGTCGCTCACCCGCTGCAGCTCTGCTTTTTCCAGGATTAGCTGTCGATTCTTCTCTTTCAGCTCTCGAACTTTCTTCTCCAAATCTTCAACGGCCGGGTCTTTTGCCGTCGCCGCTCGTTCTTTAGATGCTGTTTCATCGGCCAGACGAGTTTTCAGGATCTACAAAATGCCCGTTTCCATAAAGCAACAAATTATAGGGAAATAAGAGTAACATATGGTTTTAGATGATACTATGCCAACAACTGAACGTGATTACTCAAAGTGGAATAAAAAACTGTCGAAACTCAACTAATCATTTAAAATTCATTTTAATTACGCTGATTGAAGCTATTATAAGTAGTCAAGACTTTTCCACACAAACGAAACTTAATGTCACAAAATTGCACTCATAGCTTAGCTTTCTTTGTATTTTCCCAAAAAGAGTTGAGCAATGCACATATTCATACATTTGCACTCCTTTTCTAAACACACGAACAAAAGATTAGATAAAAAGATAGAAAAAAGAGGCGCCTCCATTCTAAATGTAAGAGAACCTACAAAAACGTATGTTTGAAAAATCAATACATCTCTTAGCATAGAGCCAAAACTGGAGAACATACAAAATCTCTACTTACTTGAATCTCATCCTTCAATTGTGCTATTGTCTGCTCATAGTTCTTATCCTCGTCTGATCGTGACTCACCCGCAAATGACTGCACCAACTGATTCGCTTCTGCAAAGAAAGATGTATCTAAAAACTTCCAAACCTCCATGCAGCATAACGAACCTTGACACTTTCTAGCCAATTCCTGCTTTTCAACTTCAAGCTCTCGTAATCTTTTCTCATACGCTTCCGTTCCAGCTGTTCGATTTTGGTCGATTCCGGACACATCGTGCGACAAACAATCGCTTAGCGATTTCGCATCAGAAAGTAAACTAAACATTCA